TCAGTATCAATTACCTCAACCACTATAGTAATTCTCTTTTTTGCCTGTTTATTCAGAGGAACAGGGGAACCAAGAGCCCAAAGTGACCAAGTGACAGTCTTAATTTCCAAATTAATAGGAATATTATTGTGTCTCCTGATGTAAGCATTTGGAAGTAAAACTCCTAGGCCACTGGAACTTAAGGTCATGGAGCAGAGAACTAAAATATTTTTGCCAGTGGATCACTAAGAGTAATAGTGAACAATCCTTCCAATTTCATCATTTTATTTCTGAACTCATGGATCTTCACTATGAGAAACACTACATATTTGGACATGGATTCAGAGTATATACAACATCCTGGAGAAGCTTGTTTCAACCTTGCAAGGTTTTGCAACCTAACTGGTACAGCAACTGAGTCTTCAAAAGGCTATTCCATTGTTTTAACAAATCAGCTGCTTACGGACAGTAGGGAACATGGTAAGTAGAGTGAATTCCATAGCATTTACTATGAAGTTAACTCTTGGCTCACTTCAGAGCATAACACATATAGCATAACATACAGAAAAACATGATGGTGGATAAGGCATTCTATAAGTCCACAGATGGTAGTTTTGCATCGTGTGTAGAGAAGGCAAATCCATACCCAGAGTAAGTGTCTATTCCACTAAAAACTTCCTTTCATAGTGGAAGTGGTCCAGCAAAATCAACCTGATGCTTGGCCAATCATCCTGGGGAATGGTACCATATCAACGGCTTAGAGCTTACCTCTGGCTGATTGGAGACTCAGCAGTGGCCATAGTAAGGTCAGCATTGAAGAGTGGAGTCCATGCCTGGCCTCCATCCTGCCACCATGTCACCTACTCATGGGGCCACTGGGTGATGACAAGAGTGGCTGAGGAAAGAGGCTAACTTTTATTCACAGAATGTGTACTCTATTCACTCAGTTATTAAAAATCTCCTCTGCTGAAGTCATTCCTGAACTTTCACATAACACAGGATCTTCATGTCTTCAATCTATCAAGAGAGATCTACATAACTCTTCCCCAACTTCTTTGTCATCAATTTTCCCATTATGTTCCTTCCACATCCCTCACCATCCACCAAACCATTGGCACCATGAATTGGCATATGATCACATATTTGGCCATTTTTTCCCTCCAAGTCAAGTGAACAACTTCTTGAGGAGAACCTCTCTCTCACTCACTGTCCTTTGGGGAAGGCCACAAAGGGGTTGTAGTACTGCAGCTGTCCATTTGGGGGCAGTCCCTGAATATCATACAGAAACATCTGTAAACCAGACCCAAGCATTCTGCGGACCTGTAAACTTAGAGTAGGGACTAGATGAGGCAATAGGTACAGGCTGGGAGAGAAAAGGCAGCATCCATGGGGAGGGCCCATGCGCATTGAGTGACGTCTTCAGATAATTCACTTGGACCTTCAGAGCCTACTTGAGCTGGATTTCATACTGCTTCCCTCTGAGGGTGAGGGGCTGCTGTGCACACCCCATTTTATGGCTTGGTGAATTAAACAACACCCAGTCCATGATGAGCATGTCAAGTCTCATGGTAATTTGGTGACACAGGGTTAAGCATTCAATCTTTACTAAGGCTAAGAGCTCTTTCTCAAAAGGAGGGTCAGTAACTGAGGAGGATGGCAGGGCTTTGTTCCAAAATCAGAACAACTGACACTGTGATTCATCTAGAAGGGCCTGCCAAAGGCTCTATATAGCTGTCGTATCTGCCACTGATACCTCAAGACTCACCAGAACTGCTGGCTCATGTGGCCCAAATGGCAGAGCAGCTCACACAGCACCTGGGCCTGTTGCAGACCCTTCTCTTTTTCTGAGACCCACTCAAAGCCAGGAGTTTATGGGGTCCCTTAGTTATAGGCCAGCATAGCACACATAACTGAATATACTGTCTCCAAATTCTGAAAGGGTCCACTAGATACTGTGCCTCTTTTTTGGTTGCAGAGGAAGCCAGATGCAAAAACTTACTCTTCACGTTAGAAGGAAATCTCAATATGCTCCACACCACTTGACCCTAGAGATTTTCCTGAGATGGAAAGCATGTCCTGAATTATTGTCATATTTATTTCCTACCCTTTGGTACAGTATGTATCTTATCAAAGATTTCCAGTGTGCCATTGGAAAATAGGAGAGGCCCATGAAACAGATTCTCTCTTAGAGCTCTCAGAAGCCAACTCTGCAACCCCTTGACCCTAGATATCCTACCTTCAGAAATGTGAGAAAGTAAATTTCTGTTATTTAAGCCCCTCACTCACTCTGTGGTTATGGTAGCCCCAAGAAAATAATACACCAGCATATTCAAGCACTGTATATTTAAAGCAACTTTATTGAGATGATGGTTATGTTAATTAGTCTGATTTAAGCATTTCATATTGTATATCAAATCATCACATTATACCCCATAAATGTATACAGTTATTATTTAATAAAAATTAAGTAAAAAAAAGCAACTTTATTCATAACATCAAAACCTGTACATACTGTACATAATCTTCAAGTGACCAGATTAACAAATTAGGGTATAGGCAGTCCCTGGGTTATGAATGAGATAGGTTCTGTAGGTTTATTTTTAAGTTGAATTTGTATGTAAGCTGAGACAGGTACATTTCCCTCTTACCTGTAACAGCTTCTGTTCCTAAGTGTGAGTCATGTGTCAGTCAGATGTTTGTAACTTAACTGGGAGACTTGCTCTAATAGGCCATGTTCATTAGTACGAGTAATTCTACCACTGCCTATATTATCCATACATTATTTGTCCATTTATCCATTATTTGTCCAAGCTATGACAAATAAGAAGATGTCAACTACCGACAAAAGGTAAAACATAGATGACTTTCAAAAATATTATACAAAATGAAGGAAACCTTACACACACAAAATCAGTCTAAAAAGGTTCAGTTTCTATGACTCTCCAAAGGAGGCAAATCTGATCTATAGCTGTTCAGAGCAGATCAATGGTTGCCAGGACTGGTAGGACAAACTAAACAAAGGCACAGTGGATATTTCCGGGATTATATATATGTTCTGCCCCTTGATGGCAGGACGGGTGATTACATGGGTGAAAACGTTTGACACAATTCCTATAATTCTACCCTTGCAGTTGTTATATTTTGTTGTATGTAATTATATGTCAGTAAAATTGATTAAAAATATAAACAATTAAAAAATTTCAAACATTCATATGCATAAAAAATAAATTAACTCTTAGAGAAGAATTTATAGTAATGATGTTATCATTCTTTGTGAGTATATAAAATAGTTGTAATTTTAAAAGTCTACTTAAGAATTGAATCTCAGAAGGAAAGATTAAGCAGTCTGCCCATAACACAGTTCACATTTATGCCTTTAGATTTCAGTGTGCCATCTAATAAACAGTACCATTCATCAATCTATTCCCTGTCCCTTCTGCTATAATTCCAAATTGTTAACACAAATTAAAATTACTCAATCTTATTTCAAATGTGATATTTGTTATGCATTGAAAATAACTACAAAGGCATGCAGAGTCAATAACTTTGCCATTTTCCTAACACTGGATAATTTCTACAAGACTAACATATTTTTGATATGATAACTTTTTAAGAATTATATAATTTCTATTAAGTTCTACACACTAACATCACTTGCAAGGGAACACAAGAATTAGTCAAAAGAGTCAAAATGTGAATACAGCCAAAATTGCTGAAGCCTACCAATTGATTGATACTTGTCAATGATCAAAGGGTGAGTAAAAGTGGCGATTACCCAATACAAAATTCTGAAATCTGAAATGCTCCAAAATCTGAAACTTTATGAGTGCTGACATGAGATAGTGACACCTTCATTTTCCAAATGTTCGATGTATACAAACCCTGTTTCACACACATAATTATTGAAAATATTATATAAAATTACTTTTGGGCTATGTGTATAAGGTGTAATTTCATGTTTAGACTTTGGTCCCATCCTCTAAATATTCTCATTATATATACACAAATATACTAACTTTTTTTTTTAATTCAAAATACAAGACACTTCTGGTCACAAGCATCTTGGATGAGGCATATTCAACCTGTATATTGGCAATATGTAGAAAAATATATCATGAGTGCCCTGTCAATTAAGGCCTTTAGATGCTTATTAAGAAGTTAGCATATCATTTAAAATTCCTTGTGAATGAAGCATAAATAGGTGGATTATTTTTACTAATTTTCCTGAATTTTAAAACCAGAAGCTATTCATTCTCCTGCAGTAGAAGTAACTGGTCACAGGTTAAATTAACTATTATGTTATGAACAAAGGTATAACCACAAGTTTGTTTTATTATTATTTTTTTTTTTACTTTTTACTAATCTTTGGACAGAACCCTACAATTTACTGATGGAAAGAAAGGCAATCATAGGCAACTATATTTGATTCATTTCATATTTTTTTTCTTTTGTGACACTTTAAGTTTCTCTTTGCAGAAAAGCCAGTATCAAAAACTACTGATTCTTGGAGCGTTGCTGGAAGTTTATAAACAAAATTTTCCAACACATAGAAAAGGCAAAATTGAAGTAAATATCAAGTTAGCAAAAGTGTCTGGTCAAATTGTCTTAGTTTCAAAAGTTTATTGAATAGATGACATCTCAAAAATGAAATAGATAATTGAAACTGGAGATGAAAATTGAAGAGGAGGGTTGGAGTTCAAGATTATAGGACATAAATTTCTAAGATGTGTATCTGTGTATGGCTGTTGTCCTGGGAAGGTTTTTACCATCTCTATGTCCTTGAACTTTACAAGCAATAACATAAGGAATACTCTAGGTCATTATGTCAATTTACATGGTTTTCCCAAACTATAGAGATGCCAGGTTTCAGAATTGCCCAAACCTATGTAGTAAGCTGATATTAATTGTTAAACTCTGGACAGAAATGGACATCCCATGAACTGTTCAGAATGAAGATCTCCCCAGAGTCTGCCATTCTGCATCACCTTCATTGCTGGGGATGATGAGGCAACCTGAGGGCTTTAGTGTGGAAACACAAGTTCATAATCATGCTCCTGGGTGCCAGAAGAAGCCCTAGTAACAGACGTCCTAACAAGGGCATATTCTGTTTCTGATCCTTCTCTAAGCAATCTCACTCTCCTTGTGATGGAGTCAATGTTCTCATAATCACCATCATGGGAGGTCAGGGAGGGCTTCTGATGGGGGATGTGATTAATGACAGTGTAGCACACTTCTTCAGAACCACTGCCAGTCTCCTGCCAAGCACAAAGAGAAAAGAAATCAAGGATCCAGGATCCTCCATTAAATTGAACTCAAAGCCCCATCTTCTTTTCTTCTTCTGTACACCATCAGGTGAACAAAGATACACCATTGGCCCATACACCTCAAATACCCAAAGCCCTTGCTCCATGTCCTGGTGTCTTTGAGACCTTATTTTAGCAATATAAACTGTGCTCTAAGCTGACTCCAAGAATAAGTCAAATTACTCATTCTGCTTTCATTTTTTCCTACATGATAAAAAGAGAAAAGAAGAGAAACTGCTTTTTTCTGGAGAAAAGCAGTTGTATATTTTAGGTCTCACATTTTAAGATGTAATGTATGCAACAGTCAGATCACAGTATATACTAGGTCATTGACCTAATAACCTAGATCAATGATTAATCAAGTCATATATTGACAAATTTTTATAAAATAAAATGGTAATAATAACAAATAGAATTTAAGTACATTTTAATAGCATAGGCAGTAAAGGAAGGAAAAAATAAAGCATTAACAATATACTAATTAAATCCATAAAATGCTTATAATGCAATGTTAAAAAATAAATATATTTTTCATGAATCATTGATTTCTACCATATTTGTAAATATAAATTCTAGTTCCTGTACATAAAGACTGAAAGGGAATGTGGAAAGCTAAAAAGAATTACTGTGTTTTATGGCAGTCAGATTATAAGGGTAAATTTATTTGATATCATTTATTTTTGTTATAATAGCTTTGAAAATTATAATAATAGACCAGTAGAACTGGGATAAAAATGATAAGAACTTGCTAAATACCTGAATCATTAAAAATAGTTGTTAATTTTTTACTTCCTTCCATTTCTACATTGAAATTACCAACTACGTTTTTAAAAATATTAAAGATTTCTAAAGTCCATTCAGCAATTGCAAATAAAGGAACACAGATCCTACCCTTGAATAAAATCATCCTTTTGGCATTTCTCATATAAATGTAATGAAAGCTTATTTGGCTTTTTATTTCGGTTTGATTTTGCTTTTTAATTACCTGATTAGAAGTAGATGAAATTTCTTGAACTGGAGGATAAAAAAAAAATAAAAGGAAAGCAACATAAGACTTTAGACTTTCACCAGTTGAGGAAAAGATGAAGAGTATACAATACAGTGATAAAATTGCAGAGAGGCCCATTATCTAAATATTTGACATTGTTTGATCTTATAGTTAAGGTTCCCAAGGCTAAATGACAAGATCAAGGAGGAACATGTGTTCTTATACATTGCAAGTCTACTGAAAAAACTAGATTTGGGAACTCAGCAATAAAATATTATTTATAAACAAGCTATGGCAATGAAGTATAAAGGAAGAATGATTATACCTGAAAATTTTAAAAATAAGTTTTACCTAAGTATCACAGGAAAATCACGTAATTCTCAAAAAGAACAATCACTGTAGAGACAGGCACAGAAATAACAAGAGTAACTAATTATTTCAAATTACATATACAGATTCAAGTTGATTCTATCTGTAAACACTGAACCACTTTATTGATATATACAGTTAGTCTTAAATCTTCTACTCTTTTTTTTAATAAACAAGCTAAAATTAGGGAGGTCACTAAATACTAAATATGGTGATCATTCCTTATTTATAAGAAGAAAATTGACTATGAAATCTACAACCTATTAAGTTTGGTAATGGTTTGTAGCAAAATCTTAGACTATATTAAGCAAATGAAACAGGTTCTGTGAAACAAAGTAAGCTAAGAATTTGTAATACCTAATCATTCTTCACAAATAATTTCTAATACCTAGCCATTCTTCACACATTCAATGCATTGATTCAAATATAGAATTTATGCACATCCATGTAATCATGCATCTTTATAAGTGTAGCCACATGTATTAATTTAATTAAACAAATGTCTTGATTTTCATATTGTTTTATAATCATTAACTGAGGAAATTATGTAGCCTGAATACAATTCAATTACAGCATTGAAGACAATGGTTTGGAGAGCCACATTTAGGTATGAAAGGCATGTAGAAATCAAAAACTATTGGGTATAGGGGTTGCTGCTTTGGATGCCAAAGTTGTTAAAATATTTAACTCATATTAAGTCTCATATTGAAAACATGAAATACGCCATGACTATGTTAAAGGCCAGTCGGGTGAATATCCTGAGTAGACTTCCCTTGTGAAGATAAGGCATTGATTGGAGAGAACATGACCCTTAGAATCAAAATGGGAATATCTGAAAGGATTTCTAACTGTATCTATCTGAATCCCAATCTCCAACCAATCTCTTTTGTCATATGAGGTACTCCCTTTGGTCTGAAATAATGAAGTTCTTCCTTTCTTACTTGAAAACTCTCAGGAAATCATCTTGCAAAGGAAAGCTAAATATTATACCTCACCAAGAACAAATCATTATACTCAAACTGAAAATGAAAATCAGATTAAAGCATTCTCTAGAAATAAAGTATATTATGGCAGGAAAAGAATATTTATACTACTGAAATCCCCATCTGCCAAAATCAAGCAAACTAAATGACAAGTTTAGCAATATGGTATTTTTTATTGAATAGATTCTGCAACTATAAAAGGAAGGATATATATTTTGTGGGCCTGAACATCTTAGTAGTAGTATACTTAACACAATGTTTGGGCTTAGCGTTGCAGCTCACAGATTTGAGAGCACTTTTAAATAGAGTGGCTGCCCAGAAGCAGGTATTAGTAATGGCTCATGTTAAATGTCACTGGTGTTTTAGGTTATGTTAGTCTCATTTTGCTCCTATAACAAATTAGCACAAACTTAATGGCACAAAACAATGAAATCTATTATTCTGTAGTTATGGGGATTGGAATTGTGAAATGAATTTCACTGGACTAAAATCAAAGTGTTGGTGAGGCTGCAGCTCTTCCTGGAGACTCCTGGGGAGACTTTTCCTATCCCACCATCGGGCATCACTCATTCCTCAGATCACAGCCCTCTTGGTGTTTAATGGCAGAGATGTAAAGACAGCAATGGCTGTGGGGTTATTCTCATGATGCTTCACTCCAGCATTTTCTCTTTTTTTTATTCTTCTACCTTTTAAGGACCTTTATGATTACCTTATGTTCACTTCAGTAATTAAGGACAATCTCACCACCTTATGATACTTAATTTAATCACATCTGCTAAGTTCCTCCTGTCATATTTAAAAAAAACCATATTCTTAGGCTCTGAAGATTCAGATATGGATATATTTTAGGAACTTTATTCTGCCTATCACACTTGTATTTCTTGTTATTAAAAAAACAGGAAAGTATCTAAATATGTAGGACTATATATGAATATTAAAGTGAATATGTTAATATAACCTGCTGAATGGCAAACTCTTTTCTCCAAGTTCATGAAATACAGAATGATGAACATTGCATCATTTTCTTTACCTATTTTTTTTATTTTTAATAAATCTGGTAACCGTACAATGATTTGTAAGGAGCCTAAAATGTCTTTTGTGCAACTTAGCCCAGTTATTGTGACTTAACTGCCAATTGGTGACAGGGATGGTTAAAAGCAATAGTCTTAACAGTATGAGAATCTGGGCTCAGTGACATCATCTGGTTTGGTTTAGAGGTCAAGCAAATACCATTAGTATTAGGAGATGAAGCATAAGTGGTCCACAGCACTGAACTCAAGATGTCAGCCTAAATGACTGCTCCAACAGACTATTGTGGAAAGAGTGAAAAATATAAAGGCTGACTTAATAGTTGCTTCTGGAGTTCATAAATGGAGAACATTTGTGGTTCAAGGCTGAGCAAGGGACCAAAGAAAATTCCCTGAAGGAATCTCCTTTGTACCTTAGCTCATTAATCAGAGTATAGCTCATTAATTAGAATACAGAGGAAAATACAGCTTTTTCCTGTGTCTGTTTCATAGTAAGTGGCAAAAGTCCGTAAATATGTCCTGTGAATTTCACAGAGACTTGAAATCATGAGTAAAACAGGTACGTCAACCCACCATCAGCATCATCATATTGATTCTCCTAACTTACTCTGCCATCATGGTCCAAATTAGATGTGAATAACATAAATTAAAAGCAATATATCTTCCCTACAGAAGTCAGAAAATTATTTATTTGAGTATCAAGAAGATGCCAGAGTGGCAATTTTGATTACATCCCCATTTAGTTTTCCTTTTGGATTGCATAAAGGATGACTGAGTATGTGATATTTTCCAAACTTGATTAGATGGTAACGTCAGTTGCTTGTACTATTGCTAATGAGATCTCCTTACTGAATTAATATAATGTCAGGCATATAATATCCATGTGCTTCCACATGGAGGGACACTAGCTTCACTAGTATATTCCAAGGCTTCATTAATATCTGTATTTGCAGGAAGATTAGTCATTTACTGTATCCATAGGACATAATATGGATCTACTACACTTAAGACATCAGGTTGATGAATCCTGGTAAACAGGAAGGAAGGGGTACACAAGGCAACTTAAACCCCATAGGACACCAAAAGGAAGAGATACACTAGGCAACTTTAACCCATAGCATACCAAAAGAAAATAAAGGAGCCTGCATCTCCATAAACTCTTTGGGTTTAGTGGTCTGAATTATTTCAGGACAACCCCATCCAAATCAAGTTTCATCTCTTCTCTTTGTAAGAGTAGAATAGTATTTGGTGAGCCTCTTAAAATCTGGGTAATCCCAGCTGGAATTGGGCTCAGAGTAAGAAACTCTCTGGTAACAAAATTAATAAAATAAAAAATTTGGTTCTATTAAAAATACTAAAAAAATGAATGAACTTTACTACAATCAACTAAGGAAATAATAGACAGAAAGTACATGTGTTCATGCACACACATACTCAGAAACAGTGTTAAGAATGGACAAAAGGCTTGGTGCTCATAGCACAGTGGTCATAGTGCCTGTCACATACACTGAGGGTTATGGGTTCAAACCTGGCCTGGGCCAGCTAAACAACAACTGCAAAAAAAAGCCAGGCATCATGGCAGGAGCTTGTGGTCCTAGCTGCTTGGGAGGCTGAGGCAAGAGAATCGCATAAGCCCAAGAATTTGAGGTTGCTGGAGCTGTGACACCACAGCATTCTACCAAGGGCAACATAATGAGACCCTGTCTCAAAAAAAAAAAAAAGAATGGACAAGAGAGTGTCATGATAGGGCATTAAATATATGAGGGCATAGTAAACAACTTTAAGGACTTTAAAAATTTTAAATGAGGGTGGCGCCTGCAGCTGAAAGGAGTAGGGTGCTGGCCCCATATGCCGGAGGTGGCAGGTTGAAACCCAGCCCCGGCCAAAAACTGAAAAAAAAAAAATTTAATTGAAAGGAAAAATTTGATGAGAAATTCAACTTTCTCACATGCTCATAAGAGCAATAAAACACTAAAATAGTCCATATAGTCCAGTTGGAGGGGATAAGAAGGAAGTAGGATGGGGAAGAGCGGAGGTCATATGGTAGAAGGAGGGAGGGCACGGGCTGAGTTCTTACTTAATGTGCACATTGTGAGGGTGTATAACTCAACCTCTGGGGGGGGGTCTCTTCTACAAATAGAACTTTACCTGGGAAGTGAGAGCAATGTAACCTAAAAATTGTACCCTCATATTTATTTGAAAAAATAAAAAAAAAAAACTCAAGAAAAAAGGAAAAGAAATGCAACGTGCAAAGATGACAAAAAAAAAAAAAAAGGAAGAGTCTATAACTATGAAAGCATTTGAATCTATACATGAATTTCTCTCTTTTTTTATTTTTTCTGAGACAGAGTCTCACTTGGTCACCTTTGGTAGAGTGCCGTGGTGTCTTAGCTCACGGCAACCTCAAACTCTTGGGTTCAAGTGATCCTCTTGCCTTAGCCTCCCAAATAGCTGGGATGACAAGCACTTGTTACAATGCCCAGCTATTTTTTAGACAAAAGTTCTCGCTCTGGCTCAGGCTGATCTCAAACCTGTGAGCTGAGTCAATCCACCTGCCTCGGTCTGAGCCACTGCATGTGCTACACATGAATTTCTTCACAATAAATCCCATGATAGCTTCACCAAAAATTTCTACCAAAGAGTAGAAGAAGAAATAAGATCAAGCACACATAAACACTTTAAAAGAGGAGAAAAATTCCAAGTATGATAACAAAGGAGCAGTACCATTTTATATTATACCCCCAAAATATACTGTCAGAAAGTAGTAGACAAGTGGGTAGCAACTGAGGATCTAAGCAGTATAATGTCAGACAAATCAAGGAAAGAATGGACTGTTTTCATGTGGCTGAGCTTGAGCAACACTTGCTCTAGAGATGGGGCAATTAAAGTTAGTATTCAAAACCGTCCTTTAAAGTTGGAAGTCCATAGTTACTGCTGAGCAGAAGCATTCAATTTTTTGAACACGGCCCAAAGTTAGGAATGCATTTTATACACCATGGTTTAGTGCAGCCACATACATATACATGTAATTGAAATCACAATGCCATCTAACAATTTTACATGTAATACACTTTCATGCTTTTTAAAATAGGCTACCCTGTTTATGGTCATGATGATGATTGGTGAAATAAATTTATTTTGAAGCCCATAGAATTTTCTCAGTAGAGTGGTACTACCAGAAGCAAGCTACTGGGAGCTGGGGTAGGATTGTGAAATGCAAAGTTGACTTTCTTTCAAGAAGCATGAGAGTGAGCTGAGTGTTGTGGTGGGCGCTTGTAGTCCCAGCTACTTGAGAGGCTGAGGCAAGAGAATCGCTTAAGCCCAAGAGTTGGAGGTTGCTGTGAGCTGTGACGCCACAGTACTCTACCAACGGTGACATAGTGAGACTCTATTTAAAAAAAAAAAAGAAAGAAAAGAAACATGAGAAGGATATTGAAACAATCATCAATAAGAAAGTGAAATTCTTTATAGAAGCAAAGAGTAGAACTTCAATTGTCAGGGGTTAGGGGGCTCGGAGAAATGGGGAGATACTGTACAGACTTTCAGTTATTAGATGAATAAGTTCTGGAGATCCAATGGACAACATGATGACTATACTTTGTTTTTTTTTTTTGTTTGTTTGTTTGTTTTTTGCAGTTTTTGGCTGGGGTCGGGTTTGAACCCACCACCTCCGGTATATGGGGCTGATGCCTTACTCCTTTGAGTTACAGGCATAGCCCTGACTATACTTTGTTGTTAACAGTACTCTGCTGTTACCTAAAATTTGCAGAGAAAAGAACTTTAGTGTCCTCAGCCTCCCTTTACATTTATACAAAATGATAATTATGTGTAGAGATGGATATGTTAATTAATTTGATATGGTGATCACTATACAATGTATACATATATCACAACATCACACTGTATACCTTCAATATATGTAATTTTTATTTGTTGGTTATACTTCCATAAAGCTAAGGAATAAAAGAAACAAAAAAAGAAAGTGAGTTTCCTTTAGATATACTTGTCCACAGATACAGAACATAGTTATTATTAATTGTTCATTTTAAGTAATCACATGATTACTATACCTAGATACTAAGTCAAACAGAGCAAAAAAAATAAAAATTCTTTAAGAGTCAGGGTCTTATATTGCCTGGGCTGGATTCAAACTCCTTGGCTCCAGGAGTCATAAGTATTTTGGGACTATAAAACCAAGCACCACTATTGTTTGTTTCTTACAAATTCTATTTTTTGTTGCTGTTGCTGTTGTTTTTGCTTTTTTTTTTTTTTTTTTTTTTTCAGTTTTTGGCCTGGGCTGGGTTTGAACCCGCCACCTCCAGTATATGGGGCCGGCACCCTACTCCTTTGAGCCACAGGCACCACCACTGTTTTTGCTTTTTGAGACAGAGTTTCACTCTGCCATTCTGGCTAGAGTGGAGTGATGTCATCACAGCTCACAGCAACCTCAAACTCCTAGGCTCAAGCTATCCTCTTGCCTCAGCCTCCCAAGTAGCTTGGGACTACAGAGGCTTGCCTCTAAGCCCAACTGATTTTTTGTATTTTTTGTAGTGACAGGGTCTAAATCTTACTCAGGTTGGTCTCAAACCCCTGACCTCATACAATCCATCCCCATCAGCCTCCCAAAGTGCTAGGATTTCAAGTGTGAGCCACTGTGCCTTCTTGCAAATTATTGAGCAAAAACAAAACAAACAAACAAAAAGCTCAGTTTTTGTCACCTGATAATAAGTCAATGTGGCCCTATTTAAAACACCTGAGAAATAAAAATGAAATTCTAAGGGCCCCCTCAGCCATCTCTTCCTTGGCCAAGGGGACCCTAGAAAAACCTTAAAACTGAAATCCCAGCCATGATAAGACTGGCAGTTAGACAAGCCCCACTGTACCCCCTCCCTGTTAGCTACCATTAGGCTTTCTTTCCTCAGGGCTAAACAGACCAGCCCTTTGGAAAGACTTGCTCGGCTGCTGATCTTAAACCACTGCCTAATGCTGCTCCTCCCTTTCTGTGGTAACATCACAACTGAGCAACACTCCTTCCTGGTAAGGCACCACTGATCGTGGAGTGGTTATGAACAATCTATGGAGGATGTGCAGTGAGGTCCTCTGCTTCACCTTTTGACTTTACAGGGCCCAGAACTCTACCCCTGGATCAAGCTACTACAGCCATTTTTTGCACATGTCACCTACAAGAGGCAAGAGGCTCAACTGTGAATGCACACAGACGTTTCTTCTTTTGTAAAATGTTTATGCCTCTTCCTATGGCTTGTTAAATGTTTATTTGGCCACCCTGCCCAGCATAAGTTCCCATTCCCTATAAACTATTTGCTCTCAGCTTCTGACCAAGGCTATTGCTTCCAACTTGTCAGAATGGCCACTTTCATTCAGCTTGGCGCCTGTGGCTCAAGTGGCTAAGGCGCCAGCCACATACACCTACGGTGGTGGGTTTGAATCCAGCCCAGGCTCTCCAAACAACAATGATGGCTGCAACTAAAAAAAATAGCCAGGCGTTGTGGTGGGTGCCTGTGGTCCCAGCTACTTGGGAGTCTGAGGCAGAAGACTTGCTTGCACCCAGGAGTTGGAGGTTGCTGTGAGTTGTGATACCACAACACTCTACCCAGTGG